GTGATCTTGACACTATGTATGCACACATAGAAAACTCACATTGGATCCCATGCATTTTTGTCATTATATATCTGTTAAAAACGCATGAAATACTAAAATTAACTCGACATGTGCCGAGTATCCTCTGGCTTTCTTTTCCCCACTTTCTTCACTGGTGACAGGAAGAGGAGTCATTGCTTCCCAGAAGTAGAAGGCATATTATTGAAGACAGGGGAGGTGGCATTTGAGGAAGTCCCTCCCAACTATCTATCAAGGGCGTGCTAAGACTACAGACTGGTTGTGTTTAAATGCAGCTTGCTATAAACCTCATGATTCCTCCAGGACTCTGGATACTGTTGGCATGGGTGTGCCCTGAGATGGACTTCAAAGCTGTTTCTACCTCCTTCCCTAGTATCAGTCTTTATGCTCTTCAAAATGCCATTAGTTCACTGGAGTGATTTCAGTTCAATTGGCAATGTTAATTCTCTGCCCACACAAGCCGAAGTCCACTGGGGATGAGCAGGATTTTGTTATCTGACAAGACTCAACATTTCTCTAAACTGATTTTGGTGTGTCTCCTTTCCACCTAATCATATTGGACTTCTCCTCTCAACTGAACCATCCGAGCTGAATGCCTCATCTGTGATCTATGAATCTGAGAAGTAAAAGCCATGCATGATTTAAAATGAGCTTCAGGAGTTTGCTGAAGGCTCTGTGGAAGTGGGCAGGTAAAATGCTGGTGGATGAAGGGCGGCGTGAGGGAGCTCAGGGGGGCCTGGGCTAACACTAGTTCCCAGGCAAACCCAAAGACCTGCTTTCTGTCCCCCACTTGATTAATTTGCTTAGACCTGCGTTACTGATGGGCCATCACCAGAATTGCGTCAGGCAGGTCTAGGCAGGTCTGAATCAATGGGGCCTTTCATCGTCACTATATCATAATTTTAATTGTCCCTTTATATTACACTTAGCAACCAGACACCAGGCAAGACTGAACTGAAGAATAAACTTGCAAAGAGAGAGAATGTCCACTTCAAAAAGTGGTATTGGAAAGAGCAGAACTGATTAGGACCTACATCCATATTGATGTGTGTGAGTATTTCTGTTGTGAGATATGCTCTTCCCCCCCCCCCCTGTACAAAAGGGTCTTGTGAAGATGTCAGATGCAGAGCGGTCTGGGGTCCTGGTGTCAGCTGGCATGCTGACAAGACCATCTGATGTAGAAATAACATCTACAGAATCAGAAAATGATGCTGTGATTCTCGACTTTAATACTGAGCACCAATTCTACATTTTAGTGTTGAGCCCTATTCTAGATATGAATATTGAACACCCAGCCTTGAGTTAAATATTAAACAATTCAACATATGCATTTGCCATGGTCACTTTTTATCCTAGATTTTTTTTTATGGGCTGCGTGTGTGAGTAGGTGGTATGTGTCTGGGGAGGAAAATACATGAATGAATGAGATGGGGTCTCTAATGAAATCTGAAGATAGTCAATTTGGCTAGGCAAATTGACAAATGAGATTCATAAATCTGCCTATTCCTACCCTTTACTCAAGTGCTGGAGTTACAGGCATGAACCATCATTTCTGGCTTTCAACATGGGTTCTGGGAATCCCAACTCAGACTCTTGTGTTTACATAGAGGGTCCGACTGAGCGCTCTCCTTGGGCTTATGGCACTTAAAAACACAAAATCTTTTTAAAGTTAGCCCTTCCTCTCTGAAGGTCTTTGTATCAATGGCATGGCCTCCCGTCTCCTTGTAAGTACAAGAGAAGACAAATGGCTTCCTAGCCCCAGCCGTAACAAGGACTGGTCACGGGCCACGCCTCCAAGGAGAGGTGTGTCAAACAGCAGTTAGAAGAGAGGTCTTTAAAACCCTGTGAACACTTTTAATATATTACCACCTCTGGGAACCAGCTATTTCCCTTCCCACTTCAGAAAACATGTAATGGGGCTTTGTGTTCCAATTTAAAGTCCCTTAAAAAACGGAAATCCTTTCCTTTATAAGTTTAAAAAAAAAAAAAAAAAAAAAAAACCAGCACAGAGCAAAAGACAAGGCAAGGGAGGAACGAATTAGGCAGTCAGTCTCCAAGCACTACTGGCTCAACTGGAAATCGGCGACCAAAGCAAGCCCCGTAATAGTGTAATGACCTTTAATGAGTGTCTTGGGAAACAATACAGCCCCGGCATAAAAGACAAAGGGCAAACCCCATCATGGTTCTGCTGACACTAATTCAAAATGATCTTCAGAACAACTCAAGAATGTAAGAGAAGTAATCTGACCTGCTCCTCTGCCCTCCCTTTGATTCCTGGGCCCTTCTCCTGCCATTTCTAATTGTCAAACCCTCTCCGTTTCACGTCTGCTCATATTTAATGAAAAGCCCACTCTCACCCTGCTCTTAGAATCAATTCACTCTGTCAAATGGGCACACCACCCAACCCACCACCCGAGTGGGGTGCCCAGAGATGGCTGTGGCACACGGCCAGGGGGATTCAGCAGAGACTGAAGGTTTTTTTTTTTTTTTAATTGGAGAAGAACGGCTGACACTGGCCCATAAAGGAGTTCAACTTGGAATGGATTTTTCTAACTTATTATTAGTGGTCAAAGGTGAGTGGTCTCACACAGGGATGGATGAAATCTGCCTTTGTGTGACGAAGTGAAGACGGAGAAACAGAGAAGGCAAGGCACCACTAGAGCTGTCAATACCACTTAAGGCCCGAATCCTGTCCTCCTACACAGTGGGGACTGGCGATGCATGGGCAGGAAGGATGACAATATTATGAACAGGGTATTTCTGAGAGGATAGGACATTCTTACCCCCAGATTTTCTTTCCCTGGCCTCCATCAATGCCGGGATTAAATTGCAGAGCTGAGAAATCCCTCCAATTATGGTTTTTCTTGAATAAAATGGAAATTGCACACACTGGACACCATGAGCCTCACATGGGGACATAGATTTTTACTGTGATTGGAGCAGATGGCCAGTGTGCCAAGACATGACCACAGGACCCATGCACAGAGCCAAACTGGCTCCTTATTTTTTTCCACCAAATCTGTAGCCAAGGTTTGGAGTGTAGTGGTTACTTGAGAAAAGAAGAAATTGTGCCTTAGACTGAAGAGGGTTGGCAGTCTTATCCGACACTGCCAATCAAAGGGATCTGGCCCAATGGTAGCACCATTGCTCACGCCATTGTCTCCCTAACCAGCTCATCTTTGAATCTGATGCCTTCCTGCACACCACAGACAAATTCTTTGTGTAGTCATGACCCGGGTTGTCTAGACAACATAGCATAGGAGTGAGAGCAAATTCTTGCAGGCAAAACAAAGGAATATGGGACTTGTAATGAACATCATTAAGAACAAATTAAAAACAAAACAAGACAAAAGTCCTTTCTAAAAATTTACGCCAATGTGCTTGGCACAGTCTATAATGCCTCTCAATACAACCCCATCAAGTATCACTTTTAAGTCAATCTTGTCCCTCATCACTTCTTAAGGAGCAGTGGATGGTGAATCAGAGGGGATGGCTCACTGGTCTCAGATTAGGTTTCAGAATGTCTCCAATACATAGCTCAACACACAGCTTACAGACTTCAAACGTGAACTGCAGCTTTGAATGTCAGCACCTAGCATGGCTTAGCACTCTCTCTATACAGTGAAGCTGGGGCTCTCTCTCGCTAGATATCCACAAGTGCACTGGGTTGGGACTATCTTCAACATAGGCAACGACAACTCCGCCATGTGCATTTGTCATGGGAACAAATGCTCAAAACCGAAATGTTTCTCTTCTTCCTTGTGTGGTGGGTGTGAACAACCACAAGGGAAAAAAAAGCTCAACTACTCTTGATTTTATAGGAGAAGAGTGGGTGGACAGGATGCCAATGCAGCACACCAAGAACTGTGCTGGGTTCTTTAAAGAGAAATGGATGAAGTACAAAGAGGATCATCATCTCCCACTTCCTATACTACCACAAACAGCAATTCAAGGTCATAGTCATATTTCAAGAGCAACCAAGTCCTCATGCAGAATTCAAGCTCTTCTGCCAGTGGATAAGGATGTACATCCCAAGCATCTCAAACCAACACATTCTGTAACATCACCTACCAACTGTGCCAGCCAAATGAAAACAGGGATGAGGGTGATCTTGGGAATTTGGTTCATCAGACTCAGCAGCTGTCTGTCACCTGTGTGATGGCTACAGCTTCTTTCATAGGGAGGAGCTTGGCAGTGACAAAGGTCTGAGCTATAAAGCGAAGGAAACCCTGGAGATTCAGGATTTAAATATTTCTTATTTAGATTCATGACTGCTATACAATACCTTGGTTAAGTGGGACTAAATTGTTGGGAAAATATAAGGCATTAATGAGTGTCTCAGGAGCCTCCTCTGAATGAGCCAACTGTTTGAAAAGAAGCACTGAAAACTGTATGGAGGGTGGCAGATTCAAGAATAAATATTCTCTTCAAGAGCTGAGGATAACATCTGGTACTGAGGAATGAGACTCTGGTAAGAAATACACAGGACAAAATTTCATATATATATATATATATATATATATATATATATATATATATATATTCTATTTTTGTATTTTGAAATGCTAGCAAGCTTTTCCCACCTATTCCTTTTCTTCCATCTTTTTGATCCATCCCCATTTAATAGTCACCTCTAAAACCTGAAGATTCACATTTTTCCTTATCCTCTATTAAAATGGTGCTTGCTCTTCTGCCACTTTTCTTTCCATTTTCACTTATTTAGACAAGAGAGAGGAAGGCTATCAGCAGGCTGTCACATGCCAGTCTTGTTCACTATCACCAGAGGCACAAAAAAGGTCAGAAGGGAAAGCCTCCTCATCATATACACAGAGACCTAGGCAACACGTCATCACATACAAGACCACATTAGGACGGCAACACTAGCTCAGTGGACTCACGGGACCACAGGGCACAACACAAGACAGGGCTGACACCACAGACGAACACAGACGTGGAACTGCGTGTGTTGAGGTTAAACTTACAGGCACGGAAACTGGCGGAGCAATCATTAACAGAGACAGAAGAAAGCGGGAAGGCTCTCTCAAGGGTGTCCACGTTACCACGCACACGGCCTGACATGCATGAGCAGTCACGCTCAGAACGTCCGCAATCAAAACAACATGCTCGTCTCATTCTCTTGTAGATGGACATCTTGGCTATAACCATGTGGTTGGATGGGAGGAGAGGAAGAGCGGCAGTTAATGGCAAGGTCACATACAGCAAGGCAGCTGGACGGGCACTGGAGGATTGAACACAGGTCTTAGTTCACGTTAACAGTCTTGACCCAGAAAAAAGTGCAGGGATTGTTGGTGACAGTTTGGTTGTACATAAAAAAAAAAAAGCAGTGAAAATATAAATTGCCTTTATCATCCCCTAAGGTTGTTGCATATTATTTTTGTCCCCTCGATGGAGCGGTGACCACAGAAAGAAGGCATGGCTGAACACATCCCGGTTCTTGGATGAAAAAAAAAGAGCAAATTATAGACAGCAAAAATGTAACTACCATCCTCCCCCTGGCACAATTAATGCAGGAGGGCAAAAGAGACACACAGCCAATCAGTTAAATGAATTGCTTATTTGGTACAATAAATGGCTTTTGCAGGATGCAACCATATCTACTGTGTAGGCTTTCTCATTTCCATCCATTTCTGGGCATTAAGCAGAGCCAGGGACAAGCTTCCATCAAATTAAATGTGAAACGATTACGTGTTAATATCAGATCTGAGGATGCTTTTGCTGAACTTCCCGGGAGTGAGTTTACATGATAGCTACAGGAATTTAAATTTACTCTTGACAGAACAAATATCCAAATCTGTCCATATAAGAAATGCCGCTACTCAAGGCTAACGCTGCATAGTTGACATTAAAGGAAGTTCACAAATAAAAAAAATCACCCGAAGCAATATGAGATGTTGGTCTCTGGAATGCTTTTAGCCACTCATGGGTATGTATCTGTTGTGAGTGCTGCCTTTCTCTCCCTGCCCACCAGAAAACCAGAAGGCAATTAGGTGGCTTAATCATATTTTTTTCCTTACGTAGAAAATATTGGCCAAAATATATTTAAAAAAAACAAAACAGAAAATATTTGCCCTACAAACTATCTTACTGGCATTTTCAGGGACCCTCAACGGTTCCTTTAAGGCTAGCACAGTGTGAAGGTTTGGTATTGACCCAGGAGTCACCTGTAATACAGACGTGCAAAGCTTGTTAATGTCCCCATCGTTTCCAATGCCTTTCCCTATTACCCTTCTGGCCAATTTATATTTCAGTACAGGAGAAGCCTTTTGTACCGCATTTTGATGCTACAACAGGCAAACATGTTTGTCATTTATCATGCTCTTCTCACAGGGTAGAAGAGCTCATATCTTCCGAGCATCAAACACTGAAGTTGACCAGCGAGGTGTTATCTCCACACTCACCCCTTCTACATTGGAAGTCACATTATCCCTCTTTATTTTCCTTTGGAGAGGATGCTTGCCATCCTACTTTAAAATATAGTTTGTGGTTTTGCCCTCTTTGAATGTTACAGTCACCAGGAACGGGTTTAAATCTCTCAAATGGGTCAAGCCCTGTTCTAAGACCTTTGTGACTTGCCATACAGTGGGCTTGTCAAGCAAGGGGAACGGTATGACTGTGAAGAGCAGGCACTGGGGAAGATGAATGAGAGACCTCCAGCAGCATCTCCATTCCTGTGAAGAGGCTCACATTCCCAGTGGCATGGTCCTTCGGCATCCTAACTAAGGCCGTTGTTTGGGTTAACATGCAACCCTAGCCCTGTTCAAACTCTCAGTATATCATTCTTTTGAGATTAGCTTTTACCAACAAATAAAAATAAGAATCTGCTATAGCATTTGAGTCAGAGGAAGTCACAAGGCATGCTGCCAATGTCCAGGCCACCCTGATCAACAGCAGTGGCTGCAGTCAAGAAAGGGGGAAAAGAGTCTTCAATGGAGGACATGAAAATAAATTTAGCTGAGCCGTATCCAGATCTGGTATACAACTTGGAAAATCACTCTCTTGGTTTGTCTATCGTAATGCTTAACTGGACATTAATGACTTGTTACTTGCAAAGAGGAAAACAATGATTTCTTTTTTCCTTTTTGTTGTTTGTTGTTTCACTGTAGATAAATTATTTTGAAACAATTTTTCTTTCTTTTTTTTTTAAATCAAATACTGTAGCAGAGAATCCCATCAAATTCAGAAATGCTATGTTTCTCATTAGCAACAGTCCCTGGTTTTCATTTTCATACTGCCATTTCAGGTTCAGGCATGGTAATAGAATGTGACACATTTATGGGGAAGAAAGTTCATATACATACATATGTACATATACATATATATATGTGGGTGATGGGAATAGGTAACTTTTGAATCTTTTTTTTTCAGTTTCCCACAGAGGTCACCCTATCACAATGGGCAGTGGAGACCTCTCACTTCCGAAGGCTTCAGGAGGGAAAATGACATCAAAACAGTGACTCTCAGGGACTGTTTGCAACTGTCACAGTTGGCTGTTCTGGAGACCATGCATTGTTGTACAATTTTGTATTGTTAGCATGCAGTAACAGGCTGCAACTGGTAACTGGAGCAGCAGAAACCCATTTGCTATAAGAAGATTAACTGTTAATTATAAGCAGTCACATTCCAAAGCAGCATATACATAAAACAGAAAACATGCTATTACTCGTCACTCCTTCCCAGTCATTTTACACTCACACCAAATGCAAAAGAGAAATCTCAAAGGACAAAGAGCGTACACACACACACACACACACACACACACACACACACACACACACACACACACCAAAAATGATCAACATGAGGCTCAGAGACAAGACACAAACAGTTAAAAATGACTGAGCCCCACATCTTGCCAAACCTTCATGAACCACAATATCTAGAGTGAAGATGCTCAGTTAAAAGTGAGGCTCAGCCAGGTGTGCTGTCACCTGTGTACTTCCAGGTCCACTTTCCAAGAAGGGAAGGTGATTCTGACCTTCCATCTGATGGAGTGATCCATCAGGCTGAGGGACGTATGTCTAGTTATGAGATTCCTTCTGGTCCATTGTTATTCATGGTCAAGGGCAGCAATGAAGACCTGAAGATTTGGCTCCCATGTGGTAGGTGTTCCAGAAAATATGGGCATTCTTTTCTTGGGTTCGAAAATAAAGTTATGTAGGCACTGTATTACAGCCTTTCTAACTCAGGCATTACTTCCCTGTCACTTTCCTCAACTCTCTGGCTTCCTAACCCTTCACTACGGTTTCAGTGAATTACAGATTCTCAAAACCTTCTTGACAACTTTTCTACAGCCAATTTGGGTTAAAGGATTCATTTGCTGTATCAGAGAGGTACTTAAAACCCCCAAGGTTGAGTTTCACATACCTACTCGGAACATTTCAGTATCTATTTAAAATACAAGTTTCTCATCTACTCCTGGTCATAAAAACATGTCTCCTCTCCATTGGTGTGCGCCAAGTTCCTTTCTTAGTAGCCATCCATGGCTCTTCCCAGTCACCAGAAAAAGAAGTTTTAAAGAAGGCAAAGCAGAGTAGGTCTATGAGGACATCTAGTGGACAGCTCTAGGAGAGCAGCTTGTCAATGGCGTGAAGCAGAACTTGATGGTTCATTTCTCCTCAAAGGAGAAGAGGGACTCGCAGTCTCTATGAATTGAAATGTATGTGGTGCCACTTCAATTCAATGGCAGCCTCCAATCTATGGATGATTAGGGGCAGTAAGGACAAATAGATACAAGGTTCTAGGAGAGCATACTGGGGGCAGTCAACAGTGGTAACTTGCAAGTGCATTGCATTCTGCACCAGCCGATAGGATCTCCACACAGCTTTGCTGCTGGTCCTGGAGGGACCAGACATGAGTGTGTCTCTGCAGGTACAAATGCTGCAGCTACTTGTCACTTTCTCTTAGGGCTCTTGGAACAACTTTATGCTCTATGAATTGGCCCCATAGGCCAACTGAACTCTGGGAAAGAAATATAAGACCCCTGGGACTTCATTTTCTCTTTGGCCCACAAAATCTTCTTGCTCTTGGACCAGTACCAATGATTTGAAGAGGTCGTGTCAGTGCCAAGAATCTGATTTTGGGTCTCACCTTCCTCTAAAAAAAATCTACATTTGAATAGTTTCATCGCTTCAGAAGAAAGCTTTTATGTGTTTTTCTTCACCACAATAAAATGGATATTCATCCAATATTTCCATTATGACTTCCTAGCAGTATTTATAGAGACAAAATAGAGGTACTGCCCTAATGGACATCATCAAAGCTATCTGTTTACTCTTGAGTGTTTAAAATGGAAAGCTTTCTCAGACACACACTTGCACAACTTTTCCTCTCTTTTCAAAGGTCGTGATGGTGAGAAATTAAACCTGCTGCAGATGTAGCATGCTCACTTCTCTTTCCTTGGGACACACTTAATATGATCAGGTGCCAGGCCTCAGGTCCTCTGCTGGTTGGCCCTTCTGAGCCAAGTCTGGAATGGAAGGAAGGGTTGCAGCCCATTCTGTCTGCTGCAGTACCATCTGCCTCCAGCATCAGCAACCAAATGGCCAGCCAGGTTGCAATTGCAGAATCTTAATTTCGGGGGTGGATTGGAAGGGAGAGGGAAAACAGCCTTGCCCAAGAGGCCCAGGTGGAGGTTTCCAGCTGCTGAAGGGAAAATAATTTAGGTTTCCAAAGGAGCAAATGTAAGAGGAGACTAGTGTGAAAGAAAAAAAAATGCCATTAAATTAAGGCACACTTCTCAGATCATAGCCTCATTTTTCAAATCAGTCGAAGGAAGGGAAGCATTGTTTCTTAGTGTGAATTACAGCTATTCTTCAAAGACTCAGTAGCAACTGAAATTATAAGCAAACCTTCTACAGAAGAAAAACCCACTGAGGTTTTTGTCTGAGGTATATTGTTAGATGTAATGCTAGGAATCAGAGGTTCTTTCACATCCTATAAAGAAGAAATGATGTCTTCATTTAACACAGTTCCTCTCATTACCTTCTGGAGAAGAAGCAAGGTCTTACACATGGCTTTCCGTGATCAGGATGGAGGGGAAGGCACAGAATAAAGGCAGCAACCTGGAGCACACACCCAGCTAGGTGATCTGGCTCCTGTCAGTCACTCTGAAGCTGGGAAAGGTGGGAGAATTTGCCACAGGGAGTGTTTGTTGATTGGCATTGTGTAGCCCTCGACTTCTCAAAGAGTGCTAGAGTATGAAAGGATAAATGCTTCCACATACATTCCACAGAGCCAATTTGGGCAGAACTGTGTATTGCATTGAAGAAGATCATTATTTTGTTTTGGTATTATACAGATCATCAAAAGCTTTCCACACAATGAAGCCTACCAGAACTCAAATGGTCAACTTGGTGCTTCTTCTGCAAAGGAATATGAGAGGTCCAGGAGCTGAAATACCTCCACATTCCAATGAACTCAATAATTTGTAGACTGGGTCTCCTTTCTGTTTCCTAGAGTCTTATGCCTGTAGGCCAAGACCCAATGCTGATGGCTAGTGCCCAATAGAGCACTATAACTGTAGGTCACACATAGAAATACTGGCCTTAAAAACTACATCTGGTTAGATAAAGGGGATCCTATTCCTTGAGTAAGTTAGAGAGGTCTAGAGACTCATATTGACTTGTTTAGATTCCAACATGCCTTATTCATTCTCCCTCAATTAACCAACATTTTTTTTTTCTCAAAGTAAGCACATGGATCCTCCAGGATGCCTAACATTCACAGAGGAACTACTGGGCATTGACTAAAGGAGAAGTTGTACTTAAAAGCAAGGAAACATTATAGACTGTAGGGAATAATTGCCACTTGTCTCCAGAGAGGCAGATACTTACAGTCCCAAAGGAGTACTCAATAAATCTCCAGAAAGTACCTTCTTGTACAGAGAGAGGCATACATATATATATAATAGGATGAATGCATTCCTCTCTATGATTATATATAAAAATACACATTTTTACATATAAACTACCGGTGCATATCATATATATCACAACTCAGGAATATATATGTAGCCTATGTTTTTCTTCCAAGAGAGGAATTCAAGCTCCATAGCAGGGGAAAACAAGTATAGTTTATCAGAGGCAAGCATGGCCATGACCCCCAATGGACAAAGCATCTAAAGCTAGAATGGTAATTACTCCAGCCTAATCCGTGTCCCTTAAAAGTCCCAAGGTAAGGCCTTCAAGAGAAACACACTGTTGTCAAGGTCTTATTTTCGATTGGAAAAATAAGACCATCTCCAGAGCTTGCTTTAGGCTGGGGGATGGGTGGATGCATGGAGAGTGGGCTCTGGGCTCTCTCCAGCTCCTGGCTACTCTACAAGGACTGTGTTGGGGCATGAGCGAGTTGGGGCATGATGTAACTGCTACATGCAACATGAATACCAAAAGGAAAATGAAACTGAAAATGTACAGGAAAAAAAAAGTATCTCATCTAGAGAAAGACCAGGAGGACTAGACTCTGGGCTGCTGGGAACCCATTTTACTCACAATAGATCACTACCAGGGTGCAGTTAAAATAGAGTAGGGGCCGTATTCCAAGGCAGCAAAGAGGAAACAAAATAAATCAAAGATATGTCAATGATTAGAAATTAAAGAAAATTTCTTCACACACATCAATCTAGACATGACTTGCCCCTTAGGAGACTACCCTTGGCAACTTTTCAGAGGCTGAGAGGGAGAGTGTAAATCATTAGACCAGGTTTGTGATACAGAAAAAGAAAATGAGCAAATGGTAGAGTCTGAGAGCTTGCTCCTTCGCTAGACTTCTGGATTGGACTTGCTTCCTGGATGGATGGAGAGCTATGAAGAGATGGGAAGAAACGCAAAAGTTAAACTATACTACCAGCATGGGAGCTCCACAAATGGAATGTCCATACTCCATACTTCTCTGATAGAGGACATGAAACATTGAAGGTTACTAAATGAAAAGGAATGAAGAAGGTAGGGGAGGGACTGGGGAAGAGAAACTGGGTAGGGACAAGAGGGGTTTAGGAAATATATGCAAAATCTGGGGACTGTCATTAACTCCATTCTCATGCCGTTGTATCATTTCATGGTGAATTATCAATTGCTGCACTATCAGGTTTGGATAAACATCAGGCTGGGTCAACTGTCCTTTCCAATTTTGAACACCAAGATGTACCTGGCCAGTGGCTTAGCACTGGCCCAATACGCTATTAACAATGCTAACTATTTCTCCTGAAAGTTTCTTCACAGCCAAACATATCTTCTCCAATTCCTTCAGTGCCTGACCTTCATGAGAAGGTTTGTATTCAATTATTCATTTGATTCTAATCCTCCCATACATATCTGCATCCTGCCCTCCAGGCTATGGCCTTTTAATTGCGAATAACAACATTTGGACAATTCTGATTATCATCACATATTAATCACACAGCCCATGGCCTTGTGACACTTAGGAGCAGCTTGGCAGAGGCAATCCTTTTGCAGCAATTGTGTTCTGCACGATGGGAGATTCTACATTTCACTAGCTAAACTTACTGTGATGGCAATGAAGGGGAATAAAGATATTGTAAATAATACTGCACTTTTCACAACAGAATGGAGCTAAACTTCTGTTTGCTTGCCTGGAACAAAGATGGAAAAATACCTTGGAAGTCAAACCCCTATTTGTAAGGACTTTAAAAGGTGTATGTATATGGTGTCCTATGAGAGACATTCTAATTTCAGAGAGAGTGAATCAGAGAAGTTTTCTCTTCATCTTGCCTTTTCCATTCTGTCTTCTAGAGTGAATCCTCCATTCAGACGCAAAGGAGATCTTTTAAACTGAGACCTGATGATATCATCTCCTTTCCTGAAATCACCCAGTAGCTTTTGGGCATTGGGCTAAAATCTAGCTTCTCAGCATCGTCTCTGCCTTCTTGTATAATCTCACCCTGTGCCTCTCTCCCCAGTGCCGCAGACCCTAGCAGCCTTCCACCCATCCTCGAAACGCTACAATGCCTGCCTGCTTTTGATTCTAGCCCCTTGTTCTTCTCCCCACACATGGTCTCACCTCCACTATCACCTACCAAAGGACCTGTCAACCTATGAAGAAGTTGCCTTCCTACAAGAGCCCTCATATCCTCAGATGGTCTTCTCTCTCTTTTTAGTACATGGGGCTCTATGAATTTATATATTTCTTAACATGACATGGGTTTGCCTCTATTTGCTGCATGGAAGGTTTGGAAGGGATCTCATTGGCCATCTCATCATGGGTACAAGATGAGACCATGCATGAAGATGTCATATAAAGCCCATGAATGCTGCTCAATTAGTACACTGTCACCTTGCCACTTCACTAAGGCTCCCAAGGGATGAGTTGGCTTATAAAAACACCCTTGTATGGATTACCGGCCTCAATATTCTCCCACCCATTTTGCCCCTATCATCATTATGGGAGTTTCCTTACGGAGTTCACCCTCTTGTTCTGGTGTTCTTGTCTGCTTCTATCCTCAGGATGGCCTGGTCCCTGTTCCTTCTGATAGAAATGAGCCTGAAGATGTCTGCTGTGTTTCTAAGTGCCAGGGCACCTGGTGAGAAGGGGAAGAGAGGCCTGACCAGATGGTGACCTTTCTTCTTCATCTTAAACTCATTCATGTGCTCTTCCTTTTGGGTTGAATCAGGAAATCCTTCTGGGTATGGTGACAGAGTTGGGGAAAGCAAACCATGGATCCTAAAACGCTGGCCTAAGCTGGTGTTTGGAAATGAAGCAGAGAAGACGTCTACAGAAATGTCTCTAGACCAAGTACTGCCCATTGGTGTTTCCCAAAAGACCAACATATTAATGCTCAGGAAGTACCATCCTATACATGTCCCCTTCAAGCAGCATAGTGACAAGACCCTCGGGTGGCATATCCCAGGAAGGGTGGCCTTTTGACTAGTTTCTTCTTGTAAAAATGTATTTTGTGAGGATGACCTTTAATAACTCTTCCAATTCATTTAACCCAAGGTTATCCTTCCCCACTGTACGAAAGAACAGGGCACTGAGACCACAGCACGCAGACAGGCCTCAGGGGACTTGAATCTATAAATAATGGCTGTATGGTTATCAGAAATTTCATCCTCTCACTAAACAAGGAAGGGTCATTGTTTCTTTAACTGTTTTAAATATACCCCTGCTAGTTATATAGGGTTATGGTGAGGATCAAAGCAAACATCACGACGAGCTTTTGGAACTCCAAGTCACCATCGAAGGGAAAGTAGCATTGCATTCATTTTTCTCTAGAGTTCGGAACAATCTCCACTGGGCTGTGTGGTTCAATTGCTGCAAAAGGTTGGACCTCCCCAAAGCAAAGACCATTCCCAGCATGGCGTCAGTGGAGCTCGTAAGCCAGTGCTCCTGAGTCACCACTGAGGGCCAGAGGAAAGCTGGGGTAGAAGGCAGCTGAGGCAGACTATGCTGGAAGTTTCCGAGCTCGGTCCAACTCACCCCATAAAGCAATGTGCTAGGGGATGGCCTTTAGGCATTGGTGGCTAGTAGACTTGTTGGGAACAGTGGTTTTGTCCTGGGGTGATCTAGGTTTGAACCTACAAGAATTCCAACCGAAAGGAAGTCTATTCCTTTTATTTTGAGACTGGGTTCTGAGACTTGCTTTCCTTCTAGGACTACATATAGTCTTTTAACTTGGGACTCCCCTCCCTATCTACTAGAAATCACAATATAAAAAACATTCCCTCCTCCAAAGCTGTAGGTATCCTCCATTTTATCCATGATGTTTAACTCTGTGGGCCAGAGATGTCTACGTCTAGACAAGTGGACAGTAGGTACTAGCCTCCTGCCTGGGCCCTGACTGTAATTTTTTCATCTTGTATTCTAAGCAAGGACTGGTATTTGTTTCATGTTTCTTTAAATGGCTGGGTGAAAGAGCTAAACATATTCACGAGAACACTTGGTATTTAATGTTCCTCTAATAGGAAAAGGAGAAGGGAAAGGAATTTGGGGACAAGGAGGGGGGAGGGGAAAAAGAAACAATACTTACGCCGCCTGCAGCCACATTTTTTAATTCTTTTGGGATCTGTGACGTCATCATGACAGGCCTTGCAGTAAAAAAATGCCCTGGAGAAAGAGAATGGAAAAACTGACACATTTCATAATCCACCCAAGGAAAATGAGTACCACGTTTCCCCCGAGGTGGTGCCAAATTAACGAAACATGCCAGCCCTGATTTCCTTTCATCTCTTGAAAAGTTTAGACATTTGCAGGCGGAAATGTTTGTTGTAAGACCATTCATTTCAAACCCAGGATTCTGGGATTGGAGTTGGTGCTTCTCTTTATAAACTTTTATTTGCAAAGGAACAGGGAGAAAGGTCTTGCTGGTGTGACACACTAGGCCTGTGACTGTCATTTCTGAGAACAGCACTGAGTACTGGTCTTTGGAACACATGGGTGATAGCCCTGAGTCTTTGGAGTGTACTTTAAAAATACTCCTGAAATCCCCGTAGTCTACTGAAATATATATTAAAGCGCCACAAGGATGGCAGCTCTCAGGCAAACCTAAGTATTACCTGTGTCACTTCGAAAGCACCTTTCCTCATTAGCCAAAGGAAGAGAAGCCTGAGAGTCACTGGAATGGAGGGACCAGAGAAATGAGTCCAGGGGTTCCTGTCAAACTCCCTCCTGGGATTCAAAGCCCATTTCACCCCAAAGCTGGCTAGATCCATTCCCATTATGTCCTGCCCCAAGCACATATAATGAATAAAAGTTTCGCTCTCCATATCGTGTAAGACTCAGCTGACCGCTGGAATGGAATGAGTAGGGGAATGGTGGGTAGAATCAGCCCCAAGAAGGAGCAATCAACAATAACAACAAAGTCCTCTAATCTGCCTTACATGTCAATCTGGGACTCCAAAATGAACTGGCTATGCCAACACTACTTTCCATGATAAGAACTAAGGTGATTTAAGAAGTACGTAACATTAGTATCCAGAGGAATAACATGGGGACCTGGGTGGGCAGGCTGTGCCCTTCTAACTTGAGCTGATGCAGAAGCATGGGCATACAATCACTCAGCTATGAACTTTCAGCACAGGAGACATTAAGTGACAGGAGCTACTCAACTTCCTGCAAATATATTAAATAGGCCTTGTGTTAGATGGTTCTGCCCAACTGTAAGTTAATGTGAAATGCTTGAACACGTTAGGCAGTCTGGGCTAAGGTGTGACGTTCAGTAGGTTACATGCATTTTTAGTTTAAGCTGTTTTCAAATTATGATGATTTATTGGGATGTAACTCCATCATAAGTAGAGAAGCATCTGTACTGAGGAGCTAATAAAATTTACTGGAACAATCTTCCAACCCTCTGGATCCAGGAACTAACAAAATCCTGGGTTTAAGGCCTTTACCACTCCCAACATGAAACTGAGTGCCAGGAATAAACAGGGCCATTTCTTGATGGAGGCTAAAGAAATAAACACAATTCCTAGGTCCTTTTATGTTTTCCACAGGGTTTACATTTCCACATCAAGTCCAATGCTCTTTCAATTCAAGAGGCTCCTTCACCATTTCTTTGAATGTCTTATGTTATCCTCTTTGCAAAAACAGAAAAAAGCAGCAGTTTGTTCTGCATAGCACTGTGGGTAAGAAACTGACGGATGGAGGTCTGCCTTGAAACAAGAGAGACAAGAAGAGGCATCCACTTGACTTGGGGCAAGTAAGTTCCCATCCACCTCCTCTGGCCACTGTAGTTCCCTTTAGATGCTCTCATGGGTAATTATAATGCAGCAGTAATAACAGCTAACAAACTATAGGCCTGGTGCTGCTCTAAGCATTTAAAAAGCATTAATATATTTGATCTTCAAACAACCTCTTTGAAGGAAGCGTGATTACAGATAAGGAAACCGAGCTGGGGAGAGAATAAGTGGCCTATTCAAGGTCACACTGCTAAGTGGAAGAATCTGGATTCAAGTCCAGGAGGCAGACATCTTAAATATGCTTCTCTAAAGAGATGGAGAGATGAGCCGAATGAACTAAAGCCAGGTTCTTTATATTAAATGTTTTCTTTTTAACTGACAAAATTATCTGTATTTGTGATACATGGTGTGATGTTTTGAAATATGTATGTGTGTTAGAATGGCAAAAGCAGGCAAACCAACACATATTCTTTCATCTTCTTGTTTATTTTGTATGTGGAGTAAGAACATTAAAAACCCACCCTAAAAGAAAAAAATGCTAACAGAGATTTTCATGAATACAATGTTTTAAAACCATCAACCTATGGGCCAGGGAGAGGCTCAGCAGGCAATGGCACTGGCTGCCAAACCTGACAACTTGAGTTTGCTCCCTGGGTCCCATGCGCTAGGAGGAGAAAAGTTGTTCTCTCACCTTCCTTCAAGGTGAATAAGTTCTCACATCTATTCAACACAAATAAATAAGTAAATGCAAAAACAGCCTATTTTAAACCAACTGTGGTCACGACATTTTGCAATCATCTCTTGCATTTATTCTCTTGTTTAAATTAATATTTTATGTCCCTTGATCCTCATTCCCCCAGATGTCCCTGTCCCAGCTTCTAGTAACCACCATTCTACCTTGTGTGTCCATGGCCTTGACTCTGTAAGGTTTCACATATCAGTGAGATCGGATAGTGTTTGTCCCTCTATGCCTGGCTTCTTTCACTTAGCCAAACAGGTGCTATAGTCAGACAGATGTGGTTAATGAGGGAGATGAGCCAAGGGCTAAAGGTGTTCATGGTCCCATGAAGACATCTGCTCCAGAGGAAGGAGGCAGATTCTTTAAACCACAAGTTAATTTTTGCTAAGTGACAGTTCTTTGGGAGCTACCCCACCCAGGGAGGCCACTTCACATTCTCTTGGCAATGCCCTTTGCTACAACTATGCACTTGATCCTGTAAACTCAGTCATCCTGGGAACAAATCCCCACTGGTCTGTGTTGAAATCCCTGACTATGGATTCCAAGGGCCATTCCTGGTGTCTTCTCTATTATCCTGATAGTTGTCTTCTCACTCCAAAGCAACTATCATCCCCTTCTTCCCGAGCTCACACATCAACAGAAAGACCCCCTCCACATCCTGCTAGGCTGGCCTGAGGGTCTCCTTGTTCTTGGTTGCTCTGTGTGACTGGCTAAAGGCAAGAGTCAGAAGGTAACCAGAGGTGGGAAAGGGTGAGCTTGTTCTCTGGTGAGTTGTGGGATGGCAACAGACACAATTTCCCACTGGAGGGCAAAGCTCTCACTAGGCAGTCTTCACTCCTACACCATACCCTCTCCTCCCCCAGGCTTCCACCTTCTTCCCCTGGTCCCTGCAGTTGCAGGCTGAAAGCAGATCTTACCTGCAGCTGCCTGTGAGATGCTCTGCCATCTCTTACTGATTTTAATCATCTTGCTGTCCACCAGTTTATATGACCCACTTTAGAAAATTTTGCTCTTGTGTCCCACTAAATTGAATCATTTGTTCCCTGCCAGGAACCCCTACTAATGTGGCCCCATATTTATATCTTTAGCTCTCTTTTCCCCAGAATTCCAGACTCTTGGATCTACCTGCCTTTATGATGACTTCACGGCATGTTTAGGGCCAATCTTCCCATTCACTATGGCCCAAATAAAACTCATCAGTTGCTACCATGCCATCTTCCTCTAGGTTTCCTCATCACAGCAAGACATCATCATCACCATCACTTTCACTCTTCACTGCCTCCAGCCTAGGCCTCAGCCTTGACTCTTCCTCCTCCCTCACTTCTATGCAGTTCATGGGTGTACACTACAGGCCCCCCAGAGTGGTCCAAATGGGAACCACACACCTCCAGCACAAGCTGCCAGCATCTCCCTACACATTTGACAGTCTCTGGATATCTTGTCTCCTCTCCTGCTCCATCACAGGCAGGGAGATTGTTCTTTGAGAATATAGTTCTCATCACATCTCAACTGTATTCAAAGCATCAATATGTGTCATTCCATAACAAAGCCATTCTCTTTGTAAGTGTCCAAAGAACGAGATGCAGCCTTCCTCTGAGCTCTTCCCACTTCTGTCTTCTGGTACTCTCCTGGCCATGCTGCTTCATGTTGTCTAAATGCAATGCACTTCACACCATTATCTTCCTTCTCCATCTGATCTGCGCATAAAAGACTCCTTCCCTTCGTTTTTATTTCTGTTCAGATGCCACCAACTTGGAAGAGCAGTTTTCACTGACACTCAATTGAAATCCTTCCTTCTTTTATTTTTAATCTTTTAAGTACCCGAAATTCTCTCTTCTATAGAATATGAACCTCAGGACAGCAAATAGGCTCTCTGTAGCCTCCCAAACATTAATTAATGTGCAGATATTTGATAAATGGTAAATGAATAAATTTTAGAATGCTTCTCAATTTGGGGTAGTCTATGTTTTGAGAAGAAACCCTAGAGGTAAAGACTTTAATATAAAAGCAGACAACTTCTTTTAAGTTGGCAACTAATCTATTATTTTTAATTATGATTCAAATAAAGTATGTATCTGCTAAAGAAAGTGAAAGAGCCACTGGACTATGTTCCAGAGTTATTTAAAAAGGGGAATATTTAAGGACAGCAAAAATAATAATAATAATAATATGACCAAGTACCTATCTCAGAGTGACCTCTTAATGGGAGTAGACAGGTTCACTGCTCTCTGTCTAAGCCCGGCACCTCAAAGATTGTACGACACAGACTCCACTAACTTTTCTTATTGTGTGTTGTTTTGCTTTGTTTTTTCACAGCCACAGCTGTGGGTGGAAACCCAATAAAAGATCACCATAATCTATTTTCCATTTTTTACAAACTTTGTTTAGTTTCAGTCAAATTCCCAATGTCCTTTCTGTGGTTTTCTGCCCTCTTCATCTCTTTGAATTACCCTAACTGACATCAGTTTCTCTGACACATCACACACCATGGAAAATTACAGGCTGCAGTTGAAGCCAATGGTGTCAGCATGTATTTGTGAATACCATAAAGCACGGGAATGAGACATACTCCATTCCTTAATTGAGGTGATAATTTGTTTCCTGAACTGCCTGGTATTTGTGACATTCGTTGGTGAGAGATGCAGGAGGAAATAGAACTGCACTAACGGGAGCTCAGGTTGCATTTGCTGTCTGGGAGGTGTGCGTGATGTATGGTCAGCTGTGCTCCCAGCCTGCCATGCTTCCAGCTGAGGTCCTGCATGAAGTTTCCATGCCTTACATCTGGGGGAGGACAGAACTCCTCCAGAGTCCCAGGTGGTGGGGCTCACACAGACACCCCACTTTCCTTTCTCACCTGAACATCCATCTAAGGGTAGTCCTGATGAACTCCTGTCTCAGCGTATTTTTCTCCAGGAGACAGATAGAGATGTATCTCTCTCACATGGTTTAACAATGTCAATCATTCTCCAGTTTGCAGAAGTAAACTTATTGGGGAAATCAGTTAAAAAACAAAACCTCAAAACCCCCAGGGTTCTTTTCCCTGGAAGCTTTTAAAACTAGCAGTCTAAAAACCTTTCTAAAGCCCCACTTGCTAGAGTTGAGTGGGTAGAAAGAAAATCATAAGCTTGGCTTCATCATATATCGTTCTATATTAGCATATCAAGATTCTGCAAATACACCCTGTGATTTCTCACCAGCACTGTGACTTTGCCCAAGCTGGTCAACCAAGCCATGCTTTAGTTCCCTCCTAGACAACAAAAAGGAACAGTAAGGCCACAGGTGGCTGGGTGAGGTCATAAACACACAGAAACCCACAAGCACCAGAGCAGCAGTGGTGCAGAGTAGGCTCTCAGAAGGTGGTGCTGGCCTTTTAAAGACAAAGTCAGAGTTCGGAGCACTTCATAAGACTGACTTCTATTTCTGGGGTTCTTGAGGTTAGTATAATGACTAAAGCACACCTAGCATAGGCCTGACTCTGAGGGGAAACCCATTAGAAGGCAATTGGCATCCATAGAGCACTGAACACCCGCATAGTCAGTATTCACTTAAAATACATAACACAGTTGTTTAGCTGAGTAACCTTTCTGGCTTACTTATGTCGTATTTTCTGAAAGCAAAAGTTTCGAAGTTGGTGGAATAGAATCAAATATAACAACAGTCTATACTGATAGGCAAAACCCTATCATCCCCTAAGTTACTTAAACAAAAATAAAGACATTAATAAAAATTTTATGAAATTTTGAGACTGGTGCTTGTCTCATACTAGGCCCAATGAGGCTTCACAATTAAAGCTGACATCTAGGCGGTGGTGGTGCATGCCTTTAATCCCAGTACTTGGGAGGCAGAGCCTGGAGGATCTCTGTGAGTTCAAGGCCAGCCTGGTCTACAGAGTGAGATCTAGGACAGGCACCAAAGCTACACAGAGAAACCTTGTCTCGAAAAAACCAAAAAAACCAAAAAGCAAAAAACAATTGAAGCTGACAATTTTAGCCAGAGCTTAGAAAGTTGCAAACACAAATACGGGCAGTTTAATGTTCCATCTAAAATTAATCCAAACTGTTTGAAGTTCTACTTGGCACCTACAGCAGAAAATCTGGACATTTACCCAGATAGTATTAGGAAAATGACCTCAGACAAGGGACCAGAAGTCCTGTGACTTTCCTTCAGAACAGGCAAGGATCAGGATGACTTGAAGTCACTTTTGCTTTCTGGGCCTCAGTTTCCTTCCTTGTAAGATGAAGGAGAAGATAAGTAGGTTTCCTGATCTAAAATTTGAGTATTCTGACTCAAAGATAGGGAACTGACTGTGGGAAAAGCTGCCCAAGGAAGCAAGGACACTAGTTCTGGAGTTAGAGTCTTAGACATACAGGACATGCAGGTCTCAGCAGATCAAGGTGTCTGGCTGGACCAGAAAGGAAGGCAGATAAAAAGAAACTCTTACCTTTTAACTTCTTTGGCATCACTTGCGATGAAAAATCCTAAAGTACCTTCTTGGATCTTAAGGTGGTTCCCAGGGTTAATTAATATTCTGCTCAGTGAACAGAAACAAACAAAGAAGACACAAGTATGAGCTCAAGTTCAGGATAAAACCTTGACGGCAACACTACCCTCTTGTTTAGATAGGGGCCCCACTACTAATGCTTGTCCTTAGATTTTCCCCTTAGAGCCTGGTATTCACTGCTCCACACATCTAGTTCAATCAAGCCATCATTTAGCTCCAGGGGGTACACTTCAAGTCAGGGAAATCAAAAATGTGGGTCTTAGGGTCTGAGTTTGCTTAACGGAGCTGCTTAGCTGCTCCCAGAGGCACCCGACTGGAAGCACATCAAAACTGATTTTGATGGTCAATGTTGAAACATAGTTAGCCTAATGAAGCTCTATGTAATACCCATCCTCTTTTAGGTGATATAGCATTAATGGGACCCCTATATGTATACAGAAACATACATATATACATACCACATATTTCCATGGGGAATGGTACAAGACACCTATAATATATTTAATGCAGCATGAAATTGCACATCTTTGGAACTTTGATAAGGACATGGAAGTAGATTCCATGAAGAACCTGATCTACACAGTGATAAAGAAAGCTATTATCTGTCGGATATACCCAATGATTCTAATCTACTTTTGATAAAAATGGATGGGTTGTGTGAATAAGATGTAAACATAGCATTCCTGCATGGCCTTACAAGTGCTAGAAATAGATAGTAGACCAAGTTATGTTTGGGATGGCAGTAGAGATAAATGGATCCTGATCTAATAAATGGGAGAAACAAACAAGTATCTGCAGATCAAAAGCAGAATACCATGCTGTCCTATGCAGAAATAGTGATGAGCCCTTGAGCTGAACAGGTGCAGAATTTAGCAACTTGGGATGAAGCACAAGCCAATGAAAATATTATTTGATCTGAAAAGCTGGTGATTAAGGTAAGAGACATTTGGGCTCAGGCTAAAGGAAGCCCCCAGCTGCCCAAAACAAAATGGGGGAGGATAGAAATTAATACATGATCTTTGTCTAGAGGTAAGACCATTCCAGGAAAAAAAAAAAACAAAAACAAAAACCAGTATTGTCAAAGGAGTCCTCTGTCTGTAGTAAAACAGGGAGGGACCAAGCAAACTTCTGCTTGCTCTGTTGGGAGAACTCTGATCAGACCATCACTGAAGAGGTTACTGTTTCTAGCCGCAAGAGCATCCACCATTACCCATAACCAGACCTGACAGCAGAAAGCAGGGCTTGTGCTATTGCTGCTATCAACACTAAATGATAACAGAGAGTGGAGAGGTGACTGCTCTGCCCCAGAACCACCAGCAGCAATGAGGTTTCCTCCCACGTCAGAAATCAGCCGTCCACACTAATGGGCCAGCAGTTCGCACTAAGGACACACTGCTAAAGGCAGAGGTTTTATAAAGAGATCTTATAATTACCCCTCTGCCAACTCTCCCACTCATATCCCAAGCCCTCTGATTTAGCACAATCGTGAAGCAAAGGGGTCAGGGATTATACAGATTTTTTTCAGATAAATAAATGTAAAAATTTATGTGTTTGTGTTCGTCAAGATGCATGAGAAACTATACAGTTTATATCGATTTCCTTTTTAAAATCCATTAAGTAAGGCACTTTAGGATCACAGGGTTCTAGATTTTGTACTTTTGTCTCGTTTTCCTGAAAGACAGTTCCTATGTGACTGCCTCTGCAATCAGAAATTGGGTCCTTATTCTAGCATTGAAGTGATAATTTTGGATAAATTCCTAAACCTCCCAGGAACTCAATGCTTTTCCCTATGAGAGGAGTGTTAGCACTAACAATAGCCTTTTGTCAAAGAACTAAGTAAGATAATGCCTAAACAGCTTGATACTTTTTATTGATGGTTATTGATATCATTTTATTCTTGCAAAAATGTCCAAGAATATTCCATTTCATCAGAGGTCTCCTGGTTCAAGGGATTGGAATACTGTGCTTCTTATCAAAAATATCCTCTGAGATGAAGTTATAGGATTAAAAAAATTATACATGACAGAATAATTCATGAATTCATCTATTAAATTCCCACCCACTTCTGGAGCCTTAAAAGTAAATTCCTAAAAATTTGGGAAGTCTCTCTCTGTTTTGACAAGAATTCACATAAGAATAGAAGAAGGGCTCCCGAGTTGGGTGGACGGGTGGCGTCCTGTCATGATTTGAACAACAGAATATGAAAGGTAAAATTGGACACACATTTTCTTGGTGGCACACATGCCCAGAGACCTGTATTTTCTTCCCTCATGCTTTGTACCACATGACCTGTCCCCCAGCAATCCAGCCCACTGTATCATCGTGAAATGTGAGGATCTCGAGGTTTCTATCCAGAGAGGCTTTTCATTTCCTCTGGTCTTTATCTGCACTGAACAAGAATTGGCCTGCAGTGAAATCAGGGATGGGCAATCTAGAGAATGCAGGTCAAGGTAATTTACCGCAGGCTTCAAGCATCTTTTAATCAAGTCAGTGTGCTCGAGAGGAGAGGCTGGATGCTGGTGGAGGTCACCCTGGTGTTCAAGTCTCAGGTTCCCTAGGTATCAGTGTTAGTAAAATACTTAAGTGCATGTGTCAGCCCTAACCATTGTGTCCTGGCTTTGGAGGCAGCAAAGTGTCACCCTCCTAATCTATAAAATGCAATGTATATTCCCTGGTTGACAATGTTCCTAAGAGAATAAAGGCATACAGTCTATGCATTAAGGACACATTATGTCCTTAACCTTTGGTTTCTATAAATATAATCAAGGTGATTAAAAAAGTCAGAGTAAACAAGACCTCACACCTCCACTGGCCTGCTCTCCATTTTGTCTTCAATGCTAACTGAACCCTTGTGAAGGTGCGGTCTCTGCAACATCTAGAAATAGGCTACTACAGATTCACTTTGGGGTACACAGAGTTATTCCCATTCCTTGAGTTTTAGGTGATATGATAAGTGATATGCAAGAGATACACAGAATCTCATTGTCCCCAGAGTTCTTGGGATACCAAAATGTCCTCATGTGCTCTGTGGACAGGAAGATTAAAATTATATCCATATGAAGCATGAGACAGGTATAAAGTTTAGGCTAAGACAGGATGGGGGGGGGAGGGGCTGGATGAGGAATTCAAAAGAATGAGCCCAGCCAGCCAAGGAAAAAAATGAAATATGCAGTCTATAAGCACAAGGTGCTCTGTGCCATAATGTTTATGTTGAGTTCTAAGGGTGTTGAAAAACAGGCCCACAACATACGGCATTTCTTGTGTGACCTGTGAGTTTCAAATACTCTTTGGAGAAAAAAATTCTTGATTTTAGTATTTCAGCTGTCATATCTGTTAGCTGCATTTCAAATCTAGAACATTTAAATAAAATGTTAGCCCTCCTTTTCTTGGAAAAGTAAAATAAGTAAGAATTCTAGGCAGGAATAACTTTGTCCTCTACCTACAAAATGCCTTCTAGACTTAGAATTTGCTATTGACCTACTGGGAACATGTTAATTTTTTTTTTCAAATATCTCTGATCTTTTTAGGAGACTATTCAATGTCAAGTTTGTTTTGTTCTTATGGCTGCCAAAAGTCCTCCTCCCCAAGCACCACTTTTAATCAGTTCTCTGGTTCCAACTTTGTCAAAGTCATAAGCTTATCAGACATAAAACTCAAGATGTGTCATGTAGAAAAATCAAGGAAATCTCCAAGAGAAGTCTCCTATTGAGAGAGGCTCCTCTTCCTGTATATCCATTAGCAGAATTCCAACAAGGACATCTTGGCAGGAGGAGACATTTCCTCATTTCAAGGAAGATATAAATTATCCTCTTTTTACCATGACCTTGCTGATTTTAATTGAAAACGCCTAGTGACAGCTGGCAGTACAGGGCTTGTATGGTCCCATCTCCAAGGATTCTCACTCATTGCCGTTCCTAGTTCCGAAGTGATGCTTATTCTTTATCTACTTACCCTCCAGAAGAGCAAAACACACACTTTCTGTAGGGGACCACTGCTGATTAGAAAACAGAGAAACAAGATTTCTGTATTTACTTCTGAGTTTTTCTTAGCAGTCCTACATGCTGTAGGCACTTTCTAGCTCTATAGAATGAATGAGAAGCCTGCATCATAGTCACTGGCCTCGGTTCTCAAAGTTTTCTCTTTTTCTCTCCAATAAATGAAAGCAGCAACTACTTCAATTCCCATCAGTCAGCCTGATCAAACGAGTGACCACAAATCTTCTTGTAGACTGGCCACCAAGCTAATGAGTTCCCAGAGGCATTAAGTATAAATATGCAAATATGTAAACCGTCACTGAGGCAGATGGAGCAGGTGGTTTCAATACTGAAAGCACAACTTGCTTAGAATTGAAATCCATGTTTCTGATTGCAGAACACATCCACATGGAATGAGCTCTACCCAACAGGGCATGTCTGTTTCAGGGCCCTATGGGAGATTTTACATTGAGTTTTGTTTTATTGATCATCTTATGCTTGAACTAGGGGCAGGTTGAAAAAAATCAGGACTGGGTAGAGAGAAATATTCTTTTTCTCCTCTCTAATATTTAAGGTACAACAGCTGACGAACAATTAGCAATCCTTCCCTCAATCCTCATAAACCTTACCTTTGTTTGGAGAAATGGTCAATGATTGATAATTCAACTGAAACAGATAACTTAAGGGAGACTTTCATCCATTATGGACAAATAGAACAGGTGTGTGTGTGTGTGTGTGTGTGTGTGTGTGTGTGTGTGTGTGTGTGTGTGGTTTCATTTCCACCCACCCCCTGTGAGGCATCGTGTACCATTCCCCAAGCAATTGAGAAAATATCACAACTTCTGTGAGGGTCGAGTTTATACTTGAAAGCACTATAATCATAGTAGTGTCTAGCAAGCTAATGGGACTTCATTAAAGAGAGTAAGCAAGTCAGAACCACTGAGGAGCTCAGGTCATGCTATTCCCAGATGACTCACACCACTGGGAAGAGGTCTCTCTGATCACTCAAGTGCATATACAATTACTATCAGCAGGAACTTGATCTGAACCAATTTATGTCCCCTCTCAGGAAGTTCAACTGCACTGCAGTTTGTTGTGTTATGATATATCTTAGAAAAAAAACTCAAGTCTCAAACCTCATCACTTTTCTGGAACTTTCCATTTCTTCTGGGCTTTACAATAAGTGCTGTTGGAGTCCCACACAACTAGACACGTGCATTTACATTAGAATATGTGGAGAAGACACAGTTGTGTAGTCCATGCTTCCATAATGCATAGGCCTAGTTCACTTACATACAGAGACACCATAATCAAGGTTGCTCCCAGTTGGCCAGACTCAAATGACCATCATCATGGTCCTCAACAATATTGGCCAGATCTGATTTAGCCTGAGTCCACATGGATAATCTTCAGAGTAAAATTTCAATATATTATAAAAAAGGCGAGCTACATGGGAGAGGATAGAGAGAGTGGATCTAGGAAGGATTACACTGGATATGTGGTCCTGGGAGCAAGCCATACTCTCTGGTACACTTTAAGACAAGTCATGCCTACATCACAACATGCCTTCACCACAAAGTAAAAGAACCCAAGGCCAAAAGCCAACAGCAGAGGTGCAACCACTGTGGACCTTGGAAGATGCATAGTGTTGCAATAACTTCTCGCAGTTGGATCATATCAATAATACCAAACTGACAGGAAGCCACCTCTCTATAGTCACATCTACTCAAAAAAAAAATCACAGAAGAGCTGACGTTGGAAAGAGTCTCAGACAACACAAACACAAGTATAAACACAAACACAAGACACTGACTACACCCATAGAGAGAAACATGAACAGGCTGGCATCATGGTAGTCTCTTTTCAACAGTACTGTCTTAGAGAGTGAGTTATGGAAAAATTATGCTGGAACATGGAACAACAACAAAACAATCACCCCCAAACCCAAATAATTAAAAAATGCCATCGAGGATAACTTAGTCATGCTCCATGCAACACAAAACAGCAGCAAAACAGGATGAAGTGATGTGGGGAACGCTGAGATATTTCCTAGTAAGAAATGTGCCCAAACACACAAGGAGAAAAGAAAGCCATGAGTTTCTACAGTGCCTATTGTAGAACACAAATGTGACAGCTAGGCAGTCCGGTATCAGCATTTGAAGTCTCTACAAGAGCACTGCTCAAGAAATTAGACAATCAAAATGAAATCAGCTCAAACAAGTACGAGGAGAGGGAGAGGCGCAAGGGCTTGGTCTCTGTTTTGTGGATAAAGGACAGAAACTCTGATCTACAAAGTGGAAACTCGACAGAGGGGCGAGGAGGTCACTGGGAATGTGGATGTGGGATGAAGACAAAATGGTGCCCCCATCTGATGGACACCAGGACAACATCAGGACGATACAGAAACAGACACAGAGGGCTGGAGAGAAATGTTCTCCATTTCAACTTTAATATGATTTGTTCCCATCATTTGTGCTTTGATTGAAGACAGGATTATGCCTTTCCATTGACTTATTTATTTATTTATTTATTTATTTATTTATTTATTTATTTATTTTCCTGCAAAGAAGTTAGTGCATCAACCAAAAGGATCAACAAATCAAACAAGGAGAGCAGCAGGCTACTTTTATGTATTCTAGTTGGAGATGGGTGATATATATATATGTGTATATGTATAGATATACTATATATATATACTAGACAAGGGAATGAGATTATATATCCACATATATAATCTCTCTTCTTGAATTCTTGGCAAATGGTTAGTCCTGTGGTTAGGAGTGAAGACAGAGGGTGGAGGTTGGAAGGAAAGTTAACGAAGAATGCATACCGCTTTCGGCTTCTGCAAAAACGACAAGAAAAGAATTGCAAATCAAACAATTTGATAATAAACTGACTGACACCAGGAGGAAGGGAGGAATAAAACCTTTGTTTCAAATCATTTGAAGGATGCGTGTGAAAACAAGGTTTATCAGCCAAGCATGAGAACAGTGTCATGGGTGGAGCCAGCAACAGAGAACGTCCTGAAACACAGGTCAGAGGTCGGAAGGTGGGAAGGAGAAGCGGCTTCTGCAGATTTCCATACCTGGTCCATTACAACATGTGAGAGCATGAGGAGCAGGCCTCTCACAAGTACATATATATATATATGTATATATAAAAAGATGTTTGGTTGGGTACATCCTGTCTTCTTGGGGTATGATCCACATTCCCTCCAGCACACCTTTTTTCCACAAGCACTCACGTGCTTCCACACTGAGACCAAGCCACATTGAGGATTAATGCTGGCAACTGCACACAGAAAGCCAATACAAAGCCAAACAAGTTCTTCTTCTTCTTTTTTTTTTTCCCTTTTCTGGGGGAACTGGGAGGAAAAACGAAATCCACAACCTATATCTCTCGACATTGGCTTTGTTGAAAACAGCTCTGTTTTATGAATCAGTGAGGGGGCCTATCAAAGAGAAGGCTGTGTCTTCATGGGACCTGGAATCTGTTTCCGTAGAACAGTGCCTGGACCCTAGTGGCACCCTCTCTTTCCCTGTGACCAAGGGTGATTAGGGGGAGCTGAGTGGCTGATGCTCATCGCTTGGTGCAGTCCTCTCCTGCTATGAGATCATTCCAGAAGGGTCAGAAAACACTCTTTAGCATCAGCAGCACTTACATGCTGACATTTTTCTTTCTTTTATTTATTTATGTTTTGAGAGAGGGACAAAAGTGATAAAGAAAGAACACTCCTATCCACAAAGGTATACTGACTTGACATCACAAAGATTACTGTTCACAAACCCACCCTATCCACCCCCCAAAACAAGGACTCACAGTCCCTCCTCCACACATGTGGATGCCAGTAAGGCTATTATAAATGGGAGCAAATAGTAGCCCTAGAAAATCCCACTTTAACTGTTGAAAGACAAATGGCCACGGCTCTCTTGGGCTCAAATAATACTTTTAATAGTCTTTCCTTTGCCAACATGGAGAAGAAAAATGTATCCTTCCATACACAGTTTTTAAATTGCTACCACTGTGTTCTACAAATGGCCACCAAATCTACCATTTTCTGGTTGATTTGGATGTTCAAAGTAACTCAGCATTGGATCAGATTGGCTGTGGACAATCTGACCTGACACGTTAAAGGGAGGGACAACAGAGGATCCACTTGCTTGTGATCCAGTGTTTGTCTTGTTTTTGCCACAGACACATACTTGGAAATAGGCATATTTGTGTGTGTGTGTGTATGCGCATGCACGTGTGCGCATGCACACGGTCATTTATCAAGATCCTGAAAACTCCTTGAATGATGCTACTAGACCTCTGCAAGTGTTGCCTTACATTCTGTTTAGTTATGAAAATATGAGTTGGGGCAGGCTGCCCTCTGCCCTTGTGAACATTTTAGGAGCAAAGGCCTCACTGGAGCAGGGGCAGCATCTGGAAATATCATTTCAGAGAACAAAAGCCAGACTGTCTTTTAATCAGCTATCTTTCTTCCAAAACTATGACTAAGAATTTCAGGTCCAAGATCATCTATGTCATCTAAGGCACCTAGGGCCTAGGAACCCCCACCCACTACCACCACCAGATTCTGGTTCACATAATGCAGCCAGCAACCAGCAGTAAGGTCATGTATCGACTGGGGTGTTATCTATTTCAACCAGACCCCGGGCCTCCTTGGTCTGCTCTGCACATCATTAAGTGAAAAATAAATAAATAATGAGAGCTCCTGCCTCAGAGCTCTCCTCTCCTGGCTAATTTACATGAGGCTGATCTTCTGCCACCTGGATGTCAGCTGCAGAGGGAGAAACGCATATGGTACACAATAGGCTGCTGGCAAATGGGCCATTGAGAGAGCTGGCACCTCCCCTCACGGCTCTACCACAGGCTGCGGTAAGGAAGGCCTGAGGCCACCTGCTTTTTGCTTACAGCAGTAAAAGGGACTTCAAGAGAGGGTCTGTTCCTGCTTTCTTGTGCAGAAGGGATAGCATAGTGGGTGGAGCTCCAGGGGACTGCTGCTCTCTCCTGTCGATCAGGGAAACCTCTGGGTGCCCACTGGGGCCTGGGATGACAGGCTGGTCTGGAATGGAAGCTGCAGTGTCTTAAAATGTATTGCGGGATCTAAGAGGTGCTGCAATGGGTTCCAAGTAAATAAACCATAAAACGAGAAGGGGGAAGCGGACAGACCCTTCCCAGGATGCACAGTTCCAACGCGAGTGTCAACTTACCGGCTCTCCCGGTTGGCAGACTTGTACTCAATGGCTATCATCAGGAGCTTAAGCTTCACAAAGCACAGCCTGCAACGAGACAGAGAGGCCTCCCAGTCAATGCTGGTGTATAGCAGAGTCTCATTACAAACGCCTCACGGACTTCCGGTCCCCTAATAACGCGGTCATTATCCAGAGGACCCTCAGTCTACCCCCAGGTGCCAAAAGCAGGGCTAGTAAAGTGACACCTCCCCCATCTTCCCCGTTAAAGCTGATTTCCCGCAAGTGATAAGGTACTGGATGTTCAAAGTGCAAATTGGGTTCTGGTCTGGCTGTCTAGACACAGACCCCAAGCAGAGATTTGTGCCTGGGGATTTAGAGCAGCCAGATTCATTAGTTCCTCAGCCGGGTAGTAAAATGTTAACTGCAGGGGGAGGGAGAGACCTGGAGCAGTGTGACCTGTTATTTGGTTTCCATTTTGGTCTTTTGTACAAATGGCTCATGTTGTTGTTCAGAGCAGCCCCCCGTGTGCACGGAATGATGGCAATAACACTTAGCCTCCATCTAAGTGCCCAGCACACGACTACAGCTTGGTCACTCCTGGCTCCATCCGAGCTGTCTTGCGTCCTCTGCCCGGGGCTCTGGGCTGCAGACCAGACTGCTCTCCGTTGGCTTGTTCCTGCCTCCCCACCTTCATTCTTATACCCCCTCTGTACCCCAATATCTTCTTCTCTTCTCTTCCAAACCATCTTCCGAGCCCAAGTCCAATCTCACCCCCAGGTCCAAGTAATATTCTAGCTATTGCTCTCCTCACAGATTTTATTTTCAAAACCTTTCTGGCACCTTGACTGTATACATGCTGTTTAGCTCCTAGCTAAGTTTACCCTGGCAGTGGCTGCTTCTCATAGTTTTGTGTCTCTGAACACTCTCTCCTTGGCTACAGAAAAGTCCTCAAGGTGTTTGGAATCCCCCCTACAGTGCACAGTGAATGGGGGGAACACGGAGGACCTCCATAAAGAGATGAATCCTACTCATTGTGTCTCACCTCAAAACAAACAAACAAACAAACAAATAAATAAATAAATAAATAAATAAAAAGTGGTGTCCCAACATGCTCATATAAACAGAGATCCAAGGTGGTGCTAGTGATGTGGAGTAGAAATCCAAAGGCAAAAGCTAAATGAAGAACAGGCAGTAGGGTGTAGGGTTGCTGAATCCAAACCAAATTCTGAAAACTGTTTTAAGAGGTTGAGAGTCACAAAGAATAAGATATAAACCTGAAAATAATATGGTACAATTTAGATTAAGATGGGCATTGACTTTAATGAGATAAGAGCTCACAGGAAGAAAAAAACGGAACCATTTGTATTATTCATCACAAGTTTCCACAATAAGCATTATCATATATTTAGGTGATATTCAATAATGGAACATTACTCAAGTGATCATGAAAAATGAACCCTGGTTCGTTAGTTTCAGCATTGTAAAGGGGATGAGGTTCAAGGTCAAAGGGTAAGGCCTTCCTTGGTGGCTCTCCTTATTGCTCACCATCTTCCTCTATGGGAGAGACTACCCCTCTGTTGATACCCCTGTTTGACGGTTGGTAAAGCTAAGACCCAGACACCTACACAACCCACGCAGTGGTTAAGCATTAGGCCTCTGGCTGACCAGGAGGGAGATACATCTTCCCCTCCAGTGTGTTTTGAATTGAGAAGGAACAATTCTAAGCCAATACACAAGTGAATCAATAACAAATTTCTAGATCTTGACAACTCTTATGTAGAAATAAAACAACTTGTAAGGATAAAGAGTGACTGGAAAACGGGTGTGTCAATTTGTCATGGTACAAGAGGACCACCCTGAAGATTCAGAGATCACTGGAGAGCAGGAAATGGGAATGAGAGGGTGTAAAGAAAGGGATTTCTAGGGGGGTAGAAATGGAAAGAACAAAAGTCTGGAGTCAACAAAAAGGTATAACTGTTTGAGAGCCAGACATAGAGCCTGCAAAGCTGGCACTAAAAGCAAGTAAAGACAAGCCATGAGTGGGTTGGACAACAGAGGGATGAAAGGTCATGAGGACTCTGCTTGCCCCGACAAGGCACATGCTGCTTATTCTAAGTGAATAAGAGATGTGGAGCTGAGTTGACTTTGTGTGTGGATACATGTGTGTGAGGGGGTGCATGTGCACACTGTGGAAGCCAAAAGTCTACCTTGAGTATTGCTCCTCAGACATCGATTTTTGAGACAGATCCCTTACTGGGAGATGGAGATCACCAATTCTGCCTGGCTGTCTGGCTGGTGACCTTCAAGGATCTTCATGGCTTACTCCCCAGCCCTAGGATTACAAATGCATATGACCACACCTGCTCTTTACATGGATGCTGGGCACTGAACTCAAGTCCTCACTGTCCTTGTATGTGCACTTTACCAACTAAACCATCTCCTCAGCTCCTGTAGTTCGTTTTCAATGATGAGATGACTTAATAAGATAGGCTAGGTATAGAGATGTGTGGCTTGCAAGGAAGGTGCTGGTGCATGGTGAGGGCCTCACATTCTCTTTAGAGAATGAGATCACTTGCCTTTTGTTGCATGGAAGGTCCTGGTTCCTCAGTACTACCTTCCACAGACAGTCAGATTTCAAAGGAACACTTCCGTACAAGAGTATCTGGGCTCTCCCTATGATTTGAAAGCTTTCTGTTTCCTGTCAGCAGTCTAATGACTTGGACTTTGAGGTGATTGTGTAGATCAATTCTGAAACACCAACCCAAGTACTGCCAACTCTAGTGGGGAAAATTTTCTTAGTTTATGTTCCACAGCATGCAATTAACTCCTTGTGCTGCTGATCTTTCTGGAGTTTAAATTTTTTTTTAATATTATGTAACTAATGTGTTGTTTGTTGAAGCAAATTACTGGGTTAAGCACATACTATTGAATGTAAATAGTAGCCAATAAATCTGATCTCAGCAGGGATCATGCAAAATTAATTTGCGGATGACCTGTGGACAACTGTCATTTATGATTCTCTAGTTTGTGGGATCAAAGATCTTATTTGCTTGTGTGGATTTAAGCCTACTGGTGGGAAGGAAAGGGTAGTTCCTAGTAAGTGTGCATTTAATTGCCTCGTGACATTTTGACTAGGATCAAATGTGGTAAGGGTTCTTAAGTGTTCCTTTTTAATTGCTACAGTGCCATTTGCCAGCTAGATATAAGAAGCAAGGATCTTCCTCATGAAAGAAGGTCAATCTATCCGATCTAGTCAGTCTTGTGCACTGAGTTATACATAGTTATGAGGTGCTATATGGGTGCTGGGAATTGAACCCAGTTCTTCTAGAAGATCAGCCATCTCTCCAGCCCCTCATACTTGTCTTATACAGAAGATAAACTGAAGTCCAAATAGGGCAAATCCACAAGCTCAAGGTCAAATGGCTTTTTCATAAAAAATAAGTCGAGAATGTCTCCATATAACGTGTGCTGCTGCTCCTCTCAGGATGGAGAAAACCCAGTGAAGTCCAACATGCAGCTGACCCATGCTGCTTGACCAACACCGTATTCCTTCAAAAAGTGGACATAGACACCAACGTGTAATTTCATATCACACTGGAGCCATCAAAGGGTACACCTTCTCCAATGTCCCACAGTGCCCACCTCTTCCTATGGCTCAGCCTCCCCCCTTCATCTTTATTGCCATCTGTTTGCCTCTTTACACACATCTACATTTTAGATATTGCTCAAACAGGTATCCTTTCATATTTGCAAACCACACTGACAGATAAACCATCAATTAACTGGGAAACAGAAGCATGGCTCTCTTTGGGTATTCAAATCATACCTTTTTGTTAGATCCTGCTACAGAGAGCACTAGCATCCTTTGCTTTAAGGATATAACAGAGGTGTGGAGTCTGATGAGAGGTCCAGGAGTGGTGGTGGAGATAAAGTCCACATAAGCAAAAAGGGGGAGCTAATGTGGTAATCATTTGCTTACCCTACCTCATGTGTTGAACTTCTCTAGTATATAGGGAACAAGCTTTGCCTCCCTGGAATTCTGGGAGTGTAAAGACCTGGCTTTTGATGAAGGCTGTGTAAGTAAAGTGGATGAGGAGACAGAAGATACACAGGAGTGGCTAGAACAGTGGAGAAGGAACAGAATAGAGAGCTAACAGAGAGAGCTCGGGAAGTGAGTGCAGGATCCTGAAATAAGATGCTTCTCTTCTTGCTTGTTAGATGCCAACAGCCTGGGAAAGAGGCAAATGGAAATAATAATAGATAATAATCATGATAAGCTCTGGGAATTTAACGTTTGCCTTCCAACCATTACGCCAAGATACAAATCTAATTTGAAGATACAGAGAGTCATTTATTATTGGCCTCTTCCAGAGCCTGTGTTACAGGAAGGCACATGCCTGAGAATGTGTCTACAGACGATCAATCTGGAATTGGTGACCTTTGGTTGAATACTAACTCGAGTCATTTTCTTTTGGTAAAGCAGAATGGGCATTACATGCAGATGGCTTTCTCATTAACAACAACAACAAAAGGAAGTTGAGGTGTAGTCTCCACATAATGTGTGGTGCTGCTCCATGAGGAACAGAGAAAACCCAGTGAACCCCAACATGAAGCTGACCCATACTGTGTGACCAACATAGTATTCCTTCAAAAAAAAACAAGTGGCTCTTCAGTGTTCCTTGGCAAATCAAATATGATCTCATTGGAGTCATCCTTCATATAGCTAAAAGGGACCCCTCGAAAGGTACACCTTCTCCAATGTCCCACACAGTGCCCACCTCTTCCCAGCTCAGCCTTATCTAAACACGATCTACATTCCCCTGACTTCACTCAGCCTGTGGCGTTTCCATGTATATAGAACTGCTGTAGAATCAGGAAGCACAATCAGGGTTAGGGAAAGGACAAAGAAAAAAAAAAAGCCAGAAAGCCTTCACAGTGTAATAAATAAGATAAACCCAGCCATAAGTTATTTCGAGTTTAATTCTTGATTTCCAAAATGAAATTTCTCAATATGCCCAGTGTGGGAAGTTATCACTGGTTGCAAAAATTACAGGGGAATAGAAATGACCTTTTTTTTTTTTCCCTCC